TTAATAATTTTATGTTTTAATAATTTAGTACAGTACTTCCTTATTTAATAGTGAGTGCAATTGCCATGTTTAATGGTATAGTGCAATTTACCACATTTTAATAGTACCAATTTGATATTTTAATGTTTAATAATTATGGTACCAGTACACCACATTTGGCAGGATGAGTACAACAGTGCTTCATGTTTTAATGTATTATAGTACAGTACCACATTTAATAAAGTATAATTACAGTACTTCATGTTATCAGTATAATTACAGTACACCATGTTTTAATGGCTGAAATTTGGTATTTACCATTTTAATAGTACTGTATAATACAAGGCACACATGTTTTAATAGTATAATTGCATTTTATGTTTGATAGTATAGTACAGTACACACATTTGATAGTATAATTGAGCCACTATGTTTTTCAGTATATTCACAGTACACCAATGTACACGATAGTACAGTACAGTACACAATGTTTTGTCGTACTTAGTTCGTTACATCATGTTTTATTAATTGTGCAGTACCATGTTTTTAATAATTATAGTACGCAGTACCATGTTTAATGGTATAGTACATTTTATATCGAACTAATAGTGCAAAATTGCAATGTTTTTAATAAATTAATATAGTATAAATTTTGGGTACTATATTTTTAAATAGTATTAATTTTAGTAATTTAATAAAATTAGTGCAGTGCATCATTTTTTAATAGTATAGTACAGTATAAATGTTTAATAGTATAGTACAGTACTACCCACATTTACTAAATAATTATTTTGATACGTGTTTTTTAATAGTATAAATTACAATTACTATATTTGTAAGTATATTTTCAATAATTATAGTACAGTACACCATGTTTTTAATGTGTATATATCTTTGGTATAGTACAGTACACCATGTTTTAATAAGTATAGTGCAATTTTTATGTTTTCAATAGTATAAGTACAGTGCTCCATGTTTAATAATTGTAGTACAAATTTTACCACATTTTAATAGTGCTATATGGTTTATTATACCATGTTTTAATAAGTATAGTACATTACACCATGTTTTTGATGGTATAATTACAGTGCTTTTATTTGATAGTATATAATTACATTTTACCATGTTTTAATAGTATAATTTTACCATGTTTGTCAATCCATATTCACAGTACATAATAACATCTAGTATATTTTCAAGTATCCATAATAATTATGATACAATTACATTTAATATAATTTTCATATAGTGCAATTACCACCATCATTTTAATAGTATAGTACAGTACCATGTTTTTGATAGTATATTACAGTACACCACATTTTGATAGTATAGTGCATTACACCATGTTTTATCAGTATATTGCAATTACATATGTTTTTAATAGTATAGTACACCATCTTTTTGGTAGTATAATTTAAATACACATGTTTCAACAGTAGTACAGTACACATGTTTTAATAGTATATTACCGTACACATATTTTAATAGTATAATTTTAAGTACGCATGTTTTAATAAGTATGTAGTACAGTACTCCATGTTTTCATGTGTAGTACAGTACACCACATTTTCATTTTAACATATTTTAAATTCACCATCTTTTCGTAGTATAATTGCAGGCACACACCATCTCTTTGATAAGTACAATTTTTTATGTTGTTTTGATAAATAGTACAGTACAATATTTTATCAATATACAGTACATCTGTTTTAATAATCATAAGTGAAATTTACCATCTTTTCAATAGTATAGTACAAATTTATATTTTTTATTAGTACACTATGTTTTTTATTAGTATAGTACAATCCTACCATGTTTCAATGGTAGTACAAAACTACCATGTTTTAATAGTACAGTACAGTACATCATGTTTTTAATAGTATAGTACAGTACACTATGTTTTTTAATAATGTAGTACAAGTACTCCATGTTTTGTAGTATAGTACAGTACACCATGTTTAATATAATATAATTAAGTACATGTTTTAATAATTACAGTACACCATGTTTGATAGTATAGTACAGAACACCATGTTTTAATAGTACAGTACCAATACATCATCTGTTTTAATAGTATAATTTTAAATTTTCCATGTTTTAATAATTACTAGTACACTATGTTTTTGTGCAACACACATGTTTTTGTGTATAGTATTACATCATGTTTAATAGTATAGTACAGTACACCATGTTTAATATAGTAGTACAGTACACCATGTTTTTAATAATCTTAGTACAGTACATCTTTTATCATTATGGTACCAGTACACCATGTTTTTAATAATTACCAGTACACCCATGTTTAATAGTATAATTACAGTACATAATTTGTGGTATGGTACATTTTCTATGTTTTAATAGTAGTACAGTACATGTTTTAATAGTATGGTACAGTACCATGTTTAATAATATTTTTAATTATATTTTCAGTACATATGTTTAATAGTGTAGTACAGTAATGTTTTTAATAATAGTACAATTACATATAATTTTAAATAGTATAGTACAGTACTATACTAATAGTACAGTACACCATGTTTTTGATAGTATAGTACAGGACACATATTTTAATAGTACGTGCAGTACATCATGTTTTAATAGTATAGTACAATTTTACCATATATATAATTATATTCAAATTATGTATTTTTAATAGTATAGTACCAGTACACCATGTTTAATAATTGTTGAAATTTTTATTTATATAATATCAGTACAGTACTCATGTTTTTATCGTATAGTACAGTACACCATGTTTAATGAAGTGGTACAATAGTATAGTACAGGTACTATGTTTAATGGTATAGTACAATTACCATGTTTTAATAGTATAATTACAGTACACCGCTTAAATTTTAATAGCTCATTTTATTTTCCACATTTTAAATAAGTATAATGCAGTACTTCACATGTTTTTAATAATTACAGTACAGTACACCATGTTTTAATAGTATAGTACAATTACACCATGTTTTAATAGTATAATTACAGTACACCACATTTTAATAGTATAATGCAATTACCACCATGTTTTAATAGTACAGTACAGTACACCATGTTTTAATAGTATGATACAATTTTTATCATTTTAATAGTATAGTACAGTACACCACATTTTAATAGTATAGTACAGTACTCCATGTTTTAATAGTATGAGTACAGTACACTATGCTAATAGTATAGTACAGTACACCATGTTTTAATAGTATAGTACAGTACACACCACATTTTAATAGTATAATTACAGGTACTCCATGTTTCTAATAGTATAGTACAGTACACCATGTTTTAATAGTATAGTACAGTACACCCATGTTTAATAGTATAGTACAATGCATATGTTTTTAATAGTATAGTACAGTACACCATGACATAGTATAGTACAGTACACATGTTTTAATAGTATAGTACAGTACACCATATTTTAATAGTATAGTACAGTACTTCATGTTTTAATAGTACAGTACAGTACACCATGTTTTAATAGTATAGTACAGTACCCACATTTTAATAGTATAGTACAGTACTTCTGTTTTTAATAGTATAGTACAGGTACCATTTTACAATAGTATAGTACAGTACTTCTTCATGTTTTAATAGTATAGTACAGTACCACATTTTGTAATAGTATAGTACAATTACTTCATGTTTTAATAGTATAAGTACAGTACACCATGTTTTTTAATAGTATAATTACCCATTTTTATTTTTAATAATGCTAGTACAGTACACCATGTTTTTAATAGTATATTGGTACACCACATTTTAACAATCTATTTTAATTACTTCATGTTTAATAATAGTACAGTACAGTACACCATGTTTAATAGTATAATGCAATTTTACCACATTTAATAGTATAATTACAGTACTCCATGTTTTTAATAGTATAGTACAGTACACATTTAATAGTATAGTACAGTACTTCTATATTTTAATAGTACAGTACAGTACACCATGTTTTTAATAGTATAATACATTTTACCATGTTTAATATAAATTTATTATATTTAGTACAATTTTGTTTTTAATAGTATAGTACAGTACACCACCATTTTAATAGTATAAATGCAGTACTATGTTTTTATATTTGATACAGTACCATGTTTTAATAGTATAGTACAGTACATCATGTTTTAATAGTATAGTACAGTACACCATCTTTTAATAGTATAGTACAGTACACCATGTTTTAATAGTACAGTACACTATGTTTTAATAGTATAGTACAGTACACCATGTTTTGATAGTATAGTACAGAACACCATGTTTTAATAGTACAGTACAGTACATCATGTTTTAATAGTATAGTACAGTACACTATGTTTTAATAGTATAGTACAGTACTCCATGTTTTAATAGTATAGTACAGTACACCATGTTTTAATAGTATAGTACAGTACACCATGTTTTAATAGTACAGTACACCATGTACAGTAATAGTATAGTACATGTTTTAATAGTATAGTACAGTACACCATGTTTTAATAGTATAGTACAGTACACTATGTTTTAATAGTACAGTACACCATGTTTTAATAGTATAGTACAGTACACATGTTTTAATAGTATAGTACAGTACACCATGTTTTAATAGTATAGTACAGTACACCATGTTTTAATAGTATAGTACAGTACACCATGTTTTAATAGTATAGTACAGTACACTATGTTTTAATAGTATAGTACAGTACACCATGTTTTAATAGTATAGTACAGTACACCATGTTTTGATAGTATAGTACAGTACACTATGTTTTAATAGTATAGTACAGTACACCATGTTTTAATAGTATAGTACAGTACACCATGTTTTAATAGTATAGTACATTACACTATGTTTTAATAGTATAGTACTCCACATTCTATTAGTACAGTTCAGTACATCACATTTTAATAGTACTGTATAGTACAATACAGTACAGTTTGTTTTACTGGCATTGATGACTTCAGCTATGGTACAGTGTAACTTCATTCACTCTTTATCCTTGCTGTAATTTTTTTGTCGAATAATTTCTTTACTGTCTTTTGTCTTGTCTTCCAGAAAGAATGGCTGAAGAAAAGATAACAATCTGTGGAGACCAAAGTGAACTGGGAGTTAAGAAAGAGGTGAAGATAACTCCTTGTGGAGACCAAAGTGAACTAAGAGTTAAGGAAGAGGTGAAAATAATTTCAATTGAGGAGAAAGGATCTAGAAAAAAGAGGCGGCAAAATCGCAAGAGAAGAAAGAAGGTAACTGAGGGTGAGGCAGACACTCGTAAAACAGAGGAAGGTATCACCCCAGAACCTCCTACACTGGCAAGTAATACACAGAAATCTGACTCACCCGAAGAAAATCGAGCTCGTAAGAGAAAGAGAACACGTAGAAAAAATCGGAACAAGAAAACACAAGAAGTTATCGAGGGTGAACTGACTGGTGACAAGGAGACAACATGTTGTCCCTCATTACATGCTGAGACACAAATGAATTCTGTAAAGAGTGAACTGAATTCTGAGAAGGAGACATCACTGTGTCCTTCACTACATGATGAGACACAACCGAATTCTGTAAAGTCTAGCACAACAGCGAGCAGAAAAAGGGCAAACAGACGTAAGAAAAACAAATGGAAGACTGCTGAAGCAGACCGGGTGGCTCAGCTGCAGAGTTCAGATTTGATTAATGCCGTTGACATCAAGGTAGAAGTTGCCAAGAGTGGTGAAGGATGTTTGAATGTGACCAATGTGGAGGAGAGGAAGGCACAAGAGAATGGTGAGGTGCAGAGGAGGAGAAAGAGACCTCGTAATAGAAGAAAAGCAACTGTCTCTGAGGATCATGGCAAGTTCCTTCAACCATGTGGGACTGTGGCTAATACTTTACTTACTGGCGAGAATGGCCAGCCTGCAGTGGTAAGTGGCCAACCTGCAGTGGTAAGTGGCCAACTTGCAGTGGTAAGTGGCCAACCTGCAGTGGTAAGTGGCCAACCTGCAGTGGTAAGTGGCCAACTTGCAGTGGTAAGTGGCCAACCTGCAGTGGTAAGTGGCCAGGCTACAGTGACAAATAAAAAGAAAAGAAGAAATCGGAAAAGGAAAAGAAGCCAGAGTGTGCCTGGAGACTCAACCATGAATACAAGTCTTACCAAGAAGTTGACTCTGGTAGTGAAAGAAGACAAAGTGAGAGAAGACGGTGAGTCTGTGCCACACCAAAACACAGAGACAGAGAGCTCAACAAACCAGAAGAAGAAGAAGAAAAGGCAAAGGAATAAAAGGAGAAAACAACAAGATAAAGATGAAGACAAAAATGAAATAAAAATTGGTATTGATCTGATTGATGATTCACATGAGAGTGGAGTTGAAATCATTAATGGAACTGATAACACGAACAACAGGAAAAGAAACTTGGCTGTGGATGCTGAGAACCTGGACAACAAGAAAATGAAACTGGGAGACATTGAAGAAATGGGAACTAATTCTGTAGTTTTGTCTTCAGTCCAGCCTCAGCAGCAGGGAAATAAAGAGCCAGGAAAGAAGAAAAGAAGAAGGAAAAGGAAGAAAAAGCATATTGAGAGTGTGGGAGGAAGTTGTCAGGATTTATCTAGCATAATGGCAGTCACTGATGAGAACAAAGATGGTGTATCAAGTTCTCCAGGTGATGGTGAATCTCAGTCAGTTAGCAAACAGTCTAACAGTCCACCTTATAAGAAATTGACAAAAGAAAAAACTGTTTTGAAAAGTTGGAGCAGCGATGTATCAGTGTGTGTATGTGCAGAAATAAACCCCTTATATAATGAGGAGAGCACCAGAGAGAAGATAAACAAACATTGGAGTGACGGTGAAGGACATCTGTGTAAAGGTAAGCATCTCACAATATTTCTGTATGTAAACTTAAAACATCATAATGCTGTTACCGTACAAAATGGTACTCTTGGAATGTATGTAGCAGTGATTGGTGAGTGAGGAAGGCGGGCGGGCAAATCTAGAAGTAAAAGTCTTTTGGGAAGTTCTCAAAAAGGTTTGTTAGCCAGAAATCATAACAGAGTCTAGGGAAAGATATTTTGGACTCAGGTTGTAAAGGCCTGGCCTGTAGGATATAAATCCCTTGCCAGCCTATTCAGAATCTTATAAAAGGAAAGTCAAGAACCATGGGTTTCCAAGGGGTAATAAACAACCGTTAGAGATTGACATCTCTTTACTACGAAAATAATCACAATAATTTAACTGACACCACTCACACAAATATTAAATAAACAACACTGGAGTCAAACAATTACTTGAAACAAAACAATCAATACAACAAAGTACTGTACAGGTATTTCCTATGGCTGCAGATGAATACTCCTACCCAGCAAGGTGGAATGTTTTGGTAACGCGGTGATCTGCTCTCAGGGGGAAGGTCCAGGGCAGCTTCCTCACTTGGAGCCGGCATTGGTGGGCGATGTCTTGCCACACAGGAGAGACGCCAGGGCACGGACGGTGGATAGGGCGTGGAGGAAGTGGCGATGACGTAGCAGCCGCGGTAGTAACTGGAGTAGGTGTCCGGAGATTGACAGCCGAATCGTGAAGGACTGGGGAATCAGCCCACGAGCCTCAGATGAGTACACAACCAGAGTTGGAATCGAACAGCGGGGTGCGAGTACAGCTGAGGTGACGACTGGGTAGTGTCTGGTGTGCGACGAGGCAGCAGCGACCTTCTCACCTCTGTCTAGCCCCCTAGTGGGGCCACGAACAAGCAAACGAGCGGCGGACAACCATCCTGCTCGTTACAGCCCTTACACAGGTGATCTATGTCAGATTCCAGGAAATAGGTGACTTGATAACGAATATCTTGTTTGTTTTTTTATCTCGCACAACCACATACAGCTCAGAGCAGCTAATGAACTACAACAATCCTGACTGCTGTGAGAAATTTCCTCATGGATGGGTAGGGAGGTGCTGGTGAAGAATGTTTCTGAAAAACAGTTTCTGGTCACTAAGTCAACCAGCTGTGTTGAAACAGAAATTGTACATGATAATCAGACCTTTCTTGCCTCAGCTGCCTCACTTCTCTTGTCTCAGCACTGTGTTGAACATTCATATTGTTGCCTCACTGTTGTGTTGTGTAGTGTTGTGTTATGATGTGTAGTGTTGTGTTGTGTTGTGTTTTACTTTTATCCTCTTCACCACTGATTGGCTCTTTAGCCGCTCGGGTGATCGGTCACGTCTCTGTTACACACTGTTGGCAAGTACTGGACATGCACCGGTTCCTGAATGTACCTGAACCTGCTCTGGTCTTGAAAGAGCACACACTCGGTACTGTCACAACACTTTCTGGCAGATTGTTCCAAGAGTTCACAATTCTCACTCCGATAAAGTTTGCCCTCACAGTTTTCTGGACCTGCGGTTTCTTCAATCTTGAGCTGTGATCCTTTGTGGGGTGAGCGTCCGTCAGCTCCAAGTAAGGACACTTGACTGAGTAGTGCCCCTTGAGATGCTTATACACCTCAATTAGGTCGCCCCTTGCCTGTCTGTAGTATAAGCTAGGCAAGTTCAGGCGCTCCAATCTTTCAGGGTAGTTGAGGTGCCGAAGTGCAGGCACCAGTCTGGTGGCCCTCCTCTGAACATTTTCAACCAATTGACAGTCCCTAGCATATCTCGGGGACCAGACGGGGTGACAGTACTCCAGATGGGGAAGCACTTCACTCTTGAAGATCGTTACAAGGGTTGGACCGTCTAGATAGCTGAACGACCTTCTTATAAGACCTAATAATTTCTTTGCCTGACTTACCTTCTTCTCGCAATGGCCTGAGAACTTCAGCTCATTGTCAACATACATACCTAGGTCCTCACATTCATTCTCAAATAGTGCAGTTTCTTCATCCCGTTGGGACATATGATACGCCTCTTCGACCATTCTTGGAGCTCACGGAGATCCTTCTGCAGCTCTTCACAGTCCTCTTGGTTCTTGATTTCCCGAAATATCTTGGTGTCATTCGCAAAAATTTGTATGGTGGAGTGTACAACGTCAGGCATATCATTTATGAAACGAACAATCAATAGCGGAACCAATACACTGCCCTGTGTGGTACCCCGCTTGTGACAGATACAGATGATGATTTTGTGCCATTAATCACCACACACACACACACACACTGCTTGGGGTCATGCAGAAAGTCTTCTATCCACGCTAGGACATTTTCCCAAATTCCGTACCCTTCCAGCTTGATTTTCAGCCTTTCATGGGGTACACTGTTCAAAGCCTTGGCAAAATATAGGTACAGTCTCTCCTCGACTTACGACATATTCGACTTACGACAACCCGGACATACGACATACCTGTATTCGACTTACGATATCCCGGACATACGACGGCCATGGTCGTATAAAATATTTTTCACATTACGTATTTTCGAGTCCTGACGTTTGGTAGTAATGTGACGCCGTGCGATAGCTTGGGCGGGGCCGCCTCACTGTGTACAGCATTTACGTCGTAGCCCGATCAGTTGGTGTTTGGCCGTCGTTGTTGTTAGTGATCAGGCTGTGTACTGACTAAATTTTCGTTTGTAATTCCCTTTAAAATGACTGGCAAGCATAAAAGTGAGAGTTCTCGTGGTGCTGAAAAGAAAAAGAGACAGTCAATTACTTTGGAGATGAAAATGAAAATAATAATGCAATATGAAAATGGAAAAACGGTAGCAACCATTTCATGCGACCTTGGCTTCTCTCACCTGACGATATCAACAATTTTGAAGGACAAGGAACGAATTCGTGAGGTAGTGAAAGGATCAGCACCTATAAAGGGAACAATAATATAAAAAAAAAGACAAGGTCCTCTTCATGAGATGGAGAAATTACTTGTGATGTGGATGGAAGATCAAATGCAAAAGCGTGTACGGTACCCTTAAGCCTTCTAACCATACACGCTAAAGCAAAAAGCCTTTTTGAAAGCCTGAAAGAGTAGGCAGGAGATGAGTGCGACCAAACCTTCACAGCAAGTCATGGGTGGTTCCAAAGGTTTAAGAACGTTACACTTTGCACAGTGTAAAGGTGAGTGGAGAGGCAGCAAGTGCTGATGTGGGTGCTGCTGAAGCTTTTAAGGAGGAGCTAGATCGTGTCATCGTGGAGGAAAATTATTTGCCTGAGCAAATATTTAATGTGAATGAAACTGGCTTATTCTGGAAGCACATGCCAGAACGGACATACATCCACGAAGAGGCGAAAACCATGCTGGGATTCAAGGCACTCAAGGACCGAATCACACTTCTATTGGGGGGGAATGTAGCTGGTTTCAAGGTAAAACCCTTCATGATTTACCATTCAGAGAACCCAAGGGCTTTTAAAAATGTCAGCAAGCACACACTGCCAGTGTTTTATCGCAGTAATAAGAAAGCACGGATGACCCTAGCACTGTTTGAGGATTGGTTCCTGAGTTGTTTCATTCCACGAGCCAAGGAGTATTGTCTGCAACAAAGGGTTGCCTTCAAGATTTTATTAATTTTAGATAATGCTCCGGGACACCCACCACACCTGGACCACCTGCACCCTGATGTTAAGGTAGTCTACCGTCCACCTAACACTACCTCTATCATCCAACCCATGGATCAAGGTGCTATTGCTGCTTTTAAAGTGTATTATTTACGTACGACCTTCGCTCAGGCTGTTGCTGCTACTGAAGGTGAGAAAACGCTCAGAGAGTTTTGGAAGGACTACTACAACATTTTGCAATGTACAAAGAACATAGCTGCAGCATGGGATGAGGCTACAGGTCAGTGCATGAATGGAATATGGAAGAAGGTCCTGAAAAGATATGTTAACAGTTTCAAAGGATTTAATGAAGATGAAACAATTTCTGAGATTAGTAACAAGATAGTGGAGTTGGGTAAACATCTGGAGTTAGAAATTGATAATAAAGATGTTGAGCAGTTGGTTGAAAGTGTAGCAGAAGAGCTAAGTAACGAGGATCTTATTGAACTGGATGCTCAGAAAATTGCAGAGGAAGAAGAGAAACAAAATGTAAAGGAAGAACCTGCACCCCCAAAAAGTTTTCAGTGAAACAAGTGGCAAAGGCCTTTGCTACTATTAATAAGGGGATGCAAATGTTTGAAGAAATTGATCAAAATGTTGAGTGTTTTGCAAAGGTTGACAGACTGATCCAAGATGCACTAGCTTGCTACAGGGAGATTTACAATGAAAATAAAAGGCAAACTGTCCTGTCTAAATTGGACATATATTTTAAGAAGTCCCCCACTGCTGTCTCCTCACGCCCCGCCACTGCTGCCTCTTCACTCTCTAAAGATGATCCAATACCTTCAACAAGCAAGTATGTTAGCCTGTCTGAAGAAAGCGAATTTGATGACCCACCCAGCCCTGTCTCTCTTTTCCCTGTGCTTCATCCAATTAATGTAGTCTACATGCTTTATTAAAAAAATTATTGAGGCCACTTTTGCATTCAGCCGACTACATTAAAGGTAAGTGCACAGTAACACTTTATTCATTTTTCATTATTGATTACTTTTACTGTACTGTATTTCATTTTAGAATTTCTATGTATTATTTTCGCCTTTTCGACTTACGACCAAATCAACTTACGACCTGGTTGTAGGGACGGAACCCTGTCGTAAGTCAAGGAGAGACTGTATATATTCTCGATATTACCACCCTGTTCCAGAATATGGGTCCAAATATCCAATACCTTGAGCAATTGTGTTAAGCAGGAGCGCCCCGACATAAAACTGTTTCGGCAATCCTTTACAAGATTGTTTCGTAATAGATGTTCCATCGCGGCATCTCCGATAATACTCTCAAGTACTTTACTTATTATGTTGGTCAGGCTCACCGATCTATAGTTGTTCGTGGAGTGACGATCACCCTTCTTCA